ATTTTTATTATAATTGGTTCAGTGGTTGTGGAGTAATAATAGATTTACTTTTCCAAATAATTTTGAATCACACTGTAAAACTTTATACATTAATTACTGATCACTCAGTACTTAAGTAATTAATTAATAAATCAAATTCTTCTGGAAGATTTGCATATTGAATAATATATAATATTTTATCTTAAATAGAGTTTTTTTATTAAAAAAATCAAGAGATTTTTCTAAAAATAATATTATTAAATATAATATTAGAAAATTCAAGAATAATAAAAAAGAAAGAAATCGATTGAATAAAAACCTCTTTATAATTTAAAAAGATATTTTAAAAATATATATTTTGATAATTATTTAAAAATTAATTTTAAAAAATTATTAAAAACATACTATTAAAATTAACTAATAAAATAACTAGAAATTATTCTAGAATTTATAAATTATTCTATTACTTCTAAATGTATTATTTAAATTTCCATTTAAAGTAAAATACTAAACTGTATTTGAAGAATACAAAATACAAAATCAAATCAGTATATTAAAAATATAATTATGACATATATATTTTATAATTATTTCAAAGACAAGTTGAGAAAAAAGCGACATTTATAAACAAATAAAAGAGAATTTCAATTGACTAAGAGTGAAAATTTACGAAAATCTGGATATGATGAAATGATATTCTTAAAGAAATGATTATTAAATCATTTAAAAATATGATATTTCTAATACATGAAAAATTAGTTAACTAGATAAAATATGAGATAATTGATGAAAATGATGTCAGCTGAAGAATTAAAATTAGAAAATAAATAAAAATAAGTAAAAATTTCGGAACAATTTGAGTGGGTCATTTCGATAACAATTTTGAATTTTCGCATTTCACATGATCTTGTGATCTTTATAACTAGTCTTTTTTTGACAGTGATTATCATTATCGTTGTACACAATACACATAATAACAAAACTGCAGGAGAATATAAATTTGCAATGTACATGTATACCCGATAATACATTTTAACACCACCAAAAATACCAAAAATACAAATTACATGTACCAACAACTATAAAAGAATGTCAAATCTTTTTTCTCCACTTAATTATTTAGGATAATACAAAAAGACCAAGCGATATATATTCAAAATGACGTTAAATTCTGATGTTTTACGTTGTATTTTCGAACATCTACCAAAACGAGATCAATATACGTGTACACGAGTGAGTAGAGAATTTTGCAGCATTGTAATTCCATTTATCTGGGCAGCGCCGTTTGGAATGATAGGCAGACGAAACAGAAAGGTCCTAAAGAACTATTTTCTGTTTGTTGATAATGAGGAATTTCTCAACATGTTTGTTGACAATGAGAAACTTCTCAACAATTACAAATCATTAAAGTCAAGATCCACGCCAGTTTTCAACTATCCATCATATCTCAAAGAACTGAGACTCGACGAGTTTCTTATCTCGCTGATTTTGTTTCTAAAAAGATTTTATGAAAGACAGTATCGCGAAATCCCGTTAAACAAATTGATACGTGCACTGTTGGATATGTTTTTGACACACCAAGTGAAATTAAAAAAGATTTCTATTCGTACAGCATTAGGGTCAAATATAAACTCAAATCAGTACATGATATTTGGCGAACAAAAATATTCTTCAATATTCAAGTCGATTGATACATTGATGATAACTCAGCAGAATTTCAATATAGATCTTATAAAAGTATTAATGGATACAGGGTGTCAGAATATTGTAAATGTTTATTATATAAATCCGTGTCTTTTTTATTTCAATCAATTCAAATATATTTACTTACTTTCTACAGAAAAACTTTGAAGTCTGGATGCCGCATTACACCGACATTAACACAATCTCAAAACTGATCTCGTCTCAAAAGGGTCTCGCTCGCTTACGTATCTTTGACTGTGAAAAAGGAATCGATCAAATATTACCCGCAATAAAAAGTCAAGCAGAAACTTTACAAGATCTGGAATTAGATGTCGTAAATTACGATGGATGTTCACCTTGGACTGATCTCGTCGCATGTGAAAAACTGAAACGTCTCTGGATAACAAATTCTCAGCATGTAATTCCTAATATGGTTAAACCATTATATATAGCCTCATTTCCTTATTTGAAAGATTTGAATGTTGGTAATCCAATGTATAAAAACTGCGGTGAACTGGTTGCTTGGTATACATTCCGAAAGGGTCTAGAACACGGAGAATAATATATCATTATATAATATTATATAAATTTTTAATTAATTTTTATTGGCGAATAATCACAATGTATTTAACTTACCCAAAAAAAGAGAACTCATGTTTATTTACCCACAAGTCATTACAGTGTTCAAAATTAGTTAACCCCTTTTGTCGCGAAAGTCAAAACATTTTGTAGATCGAATTGTTTTGGGCGAATGGCCTTTTGATATATGCCAAGTAACGTATACACTATGATTTTTATTGTGAACTTGTTATCATCAAGATTAGATTTTTAATTGCGCAAACTCAGGATTAATATCAAACCAAAAACTATGTTCAAATTAAAATTTAAATTATACCTTCTTTTTACTCTAATGAAATCGCAGAATTGGTTAATTCGTATGCGTGTATGCGTTCTTACGCTTTTAATATACGTAATAATCCCCAATATACCAAGCGTAAATTCAATAACACCTCCTGGAAGATATTCTCACAACGCAAATTTGATAAATTCAAAAATTTATTTTCTTGGTGGTGTTGACGAGCGAGACAAACTTTTGGACGATTTCTTTTTTTTGGATGTTTCTGGCGGGACGAATTTTGATGATTTTTCATTTCAGAATTTCCTGGTAGATATGGAGAATCCAGGAATTTCTTGGGGAACAACAGTCACTGCACAGGAATCAATAATTTATTTGTATGGTGGATTAAAAGTACGTATGTTGCTTACAATTGCTATAGATGGTTTGATTTTATAGTTCACATTCTCAAATTTTATGTGTCTTAAAAATTAGACAAATAGCAATGGAGATTGGCAATTGGCAAATCACAGTTATTCAATTGATGTAATAAATAGTGCACTATGGACTGAAAAAGAAATTCCACTAGATTCTGGTCCAAAGGGCCGTCGTAGCATGACTTCAATTGTTGATAAAGCCGGAATCATATATGTGTTTGGCGGTTCAAATCAAACGATAGATGGAGAAACACGTGGAAATTATGATACAACCATGTATAAATTAAATAGCGTAACTGGTCTTTGGTCGCAAGCACCCCTTCGTACTTTGGGAATTGATAATACAACATTGCCAGGTTTCGATTATAGTGCCACAATGTTGGGTGATGGAAAAATCATTTATATTGGTGGACAATTGGCCAATGGCGTTTATCTGGATATGAATAAAGTTAAGATTTATAGACTTTTATTTCATCTCGCAAAACCTTTAATTTACTTCTTATGTCTTTTAGGTTTGGTCTTATAATACTTTGAATGATCAATGGACATTAAATGTAACTTTTTAAGCAAATTTTTTTTTAATCGCTATAATTTAATACGAATTTTAATTACTATTTTAGCAAGTAGGAGGAGAAGAAATTTCTTCTAGAGCAGCGCATTCTGCTGTATTAGGTAGGAAATTACATTCATATTTTTTATAAATTTATTTAATTTGATATTAGATTTGCTCCCTTAATATATATATATATATAGCTAATGACAATACTAGCATCATAATATATGGCGGTTGGGGTGAGCCACATCCACTCACAAACGATCAAGCACTCGCAATTTTAGACACGACAACTTGGACTTGGTCCAAACCATTAATTACGAATCCATCAATGACTCGACATGCACATACTGCGACTCTTTACAAGAATTACATGATTGTGGCATTCGGTTAGTTACAATAATTCAATTTTAATAATAATTTGTTTATAATAGTTATTTTAAGTTCTATTATTTTAGGTGCACACCAACAGAATCTCGACAGCGTAATAATTTCTAACAATTTCATTTCAATCCTCGACACCTCAAACGGAACTTTCAAATGGGTCCCTTCACTCTATCAATCTACTGGACCGAATAATAGCACTTCGAATAATGTCACGAGTGCCAGCACGAATAATTCCAACGAACGGCTTGGAATAATTGTAGGAGCTAGTGCTGCAGGATTTGTTGGGTTCTCTATCTTGGTTGCTTCTTGTGTGTTACTGTATCGACATTTAGATCAGAAGAGACAGTTGAATAAGGCCATGATCGAAGGCCATTCTGGAATGACGGAAGTTGTGCGTGTTTGAATCATTTTTAATACGTACACTCATAATCTTTTCAAATTACGTACTACATGTATATTTATGGAATAATATACGTAAAATTTTGTGAAAAAACCAATATATAGTCAAACCTGAACACATGTATAACGAAACTTTTGGGCTGAACAAATAACTTCGGTTTATAAATAATTCATTTATATTAAATTTTTTGATAAAATTTAAATTTACATTAAGCTTATTTATTAAAAACAAAATAATTACATATATAAAATTATTTTACTATTATCAAAGATAAAAATTTATTTATAGTTTAAATTTTTGTTTATATAATATGATACAAATTAACAGAAATTTTCTGGAGGAATATCATAAATGATTTTTATAGAATATAATATTTCCAGCATTGTTACTGAAACTTTCAATGAGTTAAAATTGAATATTCATTAGAAAAAATTGAATAAATTTATATAATATAGTATAAGAATAAAAATTAATACTTTTAATAAATTTTATAATAACTGGAACTTCTTTCAGAAGTTCTAGTTAATATTAATTTACTAATATTTCTTTTCATCTTTGATTAAGAAATTTTATAATTATTTTAATAGTTATAACTAGTTATAACTTATAATATTTATTAAATTTTTAATATATCATAAATTATAGTTATATAAATAATATTATAATATAGTAATTATTTATCTTATTTTTAGTAATTACAAATTAAATACAAATTTAATTATTTATTAATAAGATAATAAATTATAAATTAAAAGATTATTTATATTTTTTTTATTTTTCTAGTTAAAGAATTTATTAGTTCTTTTATTAAATTCTAAGTTATAAATAATATAATTAATTATAAATTATTTTTATTAATAATTATATTTAAATAAGTTTTATAATAATTAATATATAAAATTTTTTATTATTATTTAATTATAAAAGAGTAGATAATAATTCAAGAAAATAAAATAAGTCAAATATAATCAGATTTCTTTATATTTATATTTTTTTATAATTATTTTTTTTGAGTTTTTCAATTAATTATTATTAAAAAAATCTATAATTATATCTTTTTACGATTCCTGATAAAAGTAATAGTAATAAACATTTTCATTTATATTTTAATAATAAAGCATTCAAAGCTTATGAAAATTTATAAATATATTCTTTAAAATATTATGAACAAGATTCTCTAATAGCACAAGTTATATTAGCTTAATAAAATTTTGCAAAATTTTGTATTAAATATAGTAAATTAGATATTTACATAAAATAACTTTGAAAAAAATTATTTAAAAATATTTTTAATAAGTAATTTTGAAAATATTTTTGTAAAAATATATTTTAAGATATAAAAA